GCAATGTTCGTTTTTGCACAAAGCATGAAAGCTGTCAAATTTTGACCTTCACTGGGGAGTAACGGAATACATGTACCGGCGTTTTGTATTTACAATACAAAATATGACTGTATTCTGTTACAGTTACTGTTTAAATAAGTGGTAATCACAATACAGTTACTCTGTTGAAATAAATAGATTTCACGGCAGTCATTTCCAGTTTCAAATATTATGCTATCCCCTCTCTATCCTTATCCAATTTTGATGATTTGGCACCGTTGGCTGCAGGTTTAGCTGCCAGCCCGGGTTTGAGTACAACCTGGAACCCTTTTGTTAATTATAGTTTTTTATTTACTCAATTTCCATCTGGGATGAATAGAGTTTCTCTGATTCTGATTTCTGGAAACCCAAACAAAACACGCAAAAAGAGGCTGTAATGTAAGCGTCCTGTTAATGGGGGTGAGGTCAGTTACACAATGGACCCAGAGCCAGCAGTGCACGGGCAGGAATGCATTTACAACACCACTTCATAAGAAAAATGGGATGGGATGAAAAGTCAGTACCTTCAATGTACTATGCTGTGTGATTTTTGTTACTGTTAATTAAGGAGCTTACATTGTTAGCTGGCATTACACGAGGTGAGTTCATAGACTGCAGACTGTTAGGCCGTTTCTAAATACTCATGTACGCAAGTTCTCGCTAGTCCAGACTTCATAAGTTCACACAGCAGTCCAGACTTCCCAAGAACCCAGTGCAATCGTTCTACAATTGGAAGTGCAGTGTATTGATGACATCGCTGCTTTGGAGTTTTTACTGCTGTCCCTTCTTAATTTAACTCTGATTAAAATTTATTAATTAGGAAATTAATTTCCTGCAATGGAAATTACACATGACATAAAAACAATATACATGATGTAGTAGATTTCTTTGAGAAAAACCAAGATGATTTGAACTGAACAAAAATGTAAAATATAATCTGATCGTTTTTGGAGCAGCCTTTGGGATCTAAATGTATTAATGTGCTGTTTTTAGACTTGATGCATTAACAACCTGCTAGCTGACTTTTCCAGGCAGCTTTTCACCATTACTAACCAGGTTAGTAAACTGTGACAGACAGTTTAGTTAGTTTGAACTGGTTAAATGCAAAGCTGTTTTACTGAAAGCATACATTAACTTCAAGGAGAGCCAAAGCTAATATAAACAAAATGGCCCCAGTCTAAACAAAATCCCATTAAACTAACTAAATTACAAAAAAAACACTTTCAAACCTACAACTCAACTCCCTAATATATCAAGGAAAAAGAGGGTGTCTGTCACAGATTTCAACTGTATTTCAATAGCATTTTTCTCTGCCAAGGACTTGCAGGCGGAAATTAACTAATCTTTAAATCTGGGACAAGCCATCTTTTACTACTGTGAGGTTAACTTACTGTGTGCACGATCCTTGAAAAAAATAAATAACATTTGCTGTGACCTTGAGTGATTCCCCTGGCAGCACCATGTCCTGGATGTCCTTCCTTGTCCTTCCAGCCTGTACAGGAGAGCAGGGTCTGGGGTTTTCTTTCCATTACTTTATATATAGTAATGAAAGGATGACTGGACTCCCCTTAAAAGGAAAAGGCATGTTGGTACAGCCAAACACCATTAAAATCTGAATCTATTGTTTTTACTTTTGCATTTACCTTTCATTATTTACTTACATGGTATGCTGCTGATATTCCAAACAGATGTATGACGTCAACAAAATCTTTCCTGCCTTGTGGTGTTTGGATGAGCTCAGACTGTGATCTGTCTCCCTCTGTTGGTCAATGTAATATCACACAGACCCTAAATTTACAAAACGATGATAATCTAATGTTTATTTTTCTACAGTTTATTACGGCCAAAAGGTGAAAATCAAAGTCAGATTCCTACATGATTTGTGTTACTTGACTACAAAAAGGTCAAATCAGAGCACCTGCTGTGTCTTCCAGTCAATCCAGTGTCAGTGGTTTAGAAATGTTTTGTTGCTGATCTATTTTTAGGTCAGTATGACTGACACACAGTCACAACAAATGGAAAAGAAACTGTCACCTTGATTCTGATAGACTTCATTTGACAGTCATTATACATGACAAACATTACAGTTCTTGAGATTCTTTCTATTGTGACATGATACAGCAAACTAGTAAAGTTATTAACTGCAACTTCAATATTCAGAGGTGAATTCTTTTACAGAGATGTGCATCAGTGTTACAGTGACAGGGGTCTGCATCATCTAAAAGTTACATTTGTTAAGGTAAACTATGGTATATGTCCCACCCTGAATACGCCTGCCTACACAAGTGAAATTGTGCTAGGCCTGTTTTTTCACTTCTCTTTACAAGCTGCAGAGGTCACCACTGCTCAGGACGCTGCAGGGAAGAATGTAGGCCATATATATATAAACAGGTTCTCAAAATCAAAAAATAAATATATTTTATTCAAATGAACGAAACTCTTTAATTGTGAAAATGAATAGCTGAACCCAAAACAGATGACAAATATAGAAACTGAAACAAACTCTCAAATAAAGTCCAAATACATCAAAATTACACCTAAAAAGGACAAAACTGACAAATAAATGCAAAAAACCCGAATAGGAATTTATTAATTAACCATTAGATTTTGAAAATGTAGAACAAAAATAAACTGCTTCAGTGCAAACATTTCCATCTCGAGACACCTTGTAGTTTTAGGTAATATGATCTTACATTCCGCACAGAAACTGACGTCCAACAGGGATAGAAAAACTTTCTGGTAAATATTTATCAAATTTTTAATCCACTGTTTATATAAAATGTCATTTTTAGTTAAAAATGATTCCTGACACAAAGACGCGTGTTCGGATGACTTTGATGTATTCATCAGAAACTTGTTTACGTAAATTAACTCGAGGCCTCTGATCAACATCTGTAAAAATCTTAGAGTGGAAAACACTGCATGAGAATGCAAAATGTCTCATAAGAAGTGTGCTCTCACAGCATCACACTGTGGCTGGACAGAAGGTTTACTTGTGGTGTGTTACGCCAGTTTAGCAAAGACATGTCTAACCACATTCTTCCTTTCATGACCACAAGTAAGCACCTAATGACTCACTGCAGCCGGGTGATGCATCCTTACACAAAACTCTGTACAACTAACACTTTTTAAGAGCGAAATAGATCCTAGTATTGATATGAAAATTTTAGAAGTCATTGCATTGCATTTGATTTAATATGATATAAGGCTTTGTGCCTTTTTAAAATGTTTACCATGTGTTGCTTCTAACCATGATTGCCATCATTCATTTTAAATATCACACAGGCAGCTCATGTCATTCACGTCTTTACGTGTTTGTTCTGTTCTGACTGAGCCGTTTTGATTTGAGTTAGGATTTTGTGATCAGTGCATGAGAATGACTGCTTGGTTAGCAGGAAGGTTTACGAGAGCTGATCGGAAAAAATAAAAAAAATATACACATTCACGTGTTCCATTTAACACTTTAAAAAAAGTGTTGTGTAGGTGTGAAGACAAATATATTTACCAGCAGGTTTTACATTTCAGAGAGCCCAGAGGCAAAACAGACCTGATCCAGAGCAAATAAGAAAACAATGTCATGGCAATTAGAGAATATACTGTAATAATATAATAATATGGTGACGGTACATGCAATGACAGAAAATGCTAATCAAATCCGAATGATGGCCACAGGTGATGCATGGTGTGAGAAAATGTGCTGACTCACTCCTAAAGACTGCATGTTTGCACTGACACCACACACTATTACACACTATGACTTCATCTGCTAAACTACTTCCACAAAATTTGGGCACTTCCAACAACCCTCAAGTAAGGCCTTACTATGGTAAATATGGGTAAAATTGATCACCACATGCAATAATACGGTAAATTATATTAATTAAATAAAAATGGGGATATAGGAAACAATAAAAGAGAGTGGAAAACCCTTTTTATTTCCAAATATCCTGTAATTTAATGATAAATTCTATTTCATTATGTAGCAGGATTGTCACAGCGTTTATTTCTCTGATTGACGTGTTCCAGTGGACTTCAAAGTCCGGAAAGTCATTCAGTTAGAGAGTGGAGCTAAATTATCATCCACTCCAATTACTTACAATTTGGAATCTGTATAATCATCTCCTCTGTTCTTAAATCTGATAGTGTCCTTTTTGTTTGGAGCATGGAAGTATGCTGTACATACTTGTGTTTACCTGCTCATGATCTGAGTCATACCAGAATTATAGCTTAAAGGCTTTATTCTTGACAAAAAGTGAAGCAATGATGCTAAACAGTCATTCTGTCAAGATCTCTGTTGGTAGCTCATCACAACCTGATGCACCGCTGCAGCCCCTGACATGGGTCAGAAATGCTGAGTTCAA